TAGCATTCCTTTGCTCGAGCGGAGCTCTAAACAAAAGATGGTTGCTCGAGCGTGGAATCCTTCGCTCGAGTGTGGAAGCCAAAATCTGGAATTTCCAGATTTGCCTCCCAAGCTCAAACCAAGCATTCAACACATTAAAACTCAACCTTTTGGGTCCATTTTCTGGAAAACACTTGAAAACTCATACTACAACATATTTTGAAGATCAATTTTGTAAAATTAAGCCCAAAGGTAAGCCAATTGAACACAATTTCAAAGAAACTTTCATGAATTATGTAAAAACATAACATGCATGAACTCTTATGAACTCTAGTGCTCTAAAACTTGATCAAATGCAAGATTAAGCTCAAAACCAAAGTGAATTCATGGACTACAACCAAAATGTGAACTTTCATGTCAGAGTTTTCATGAAAACAACCTCAAAATGCAAGAATGTGTACATGTATGCATGAATTAGCTCACAATTCAACTCTTCAAATTAATTCTTGACTTTAAACTCCAAATTTCCATGAACTAAGCATGAAACAACTTAAATTCACAAGTAAGAAGATGAATTCTCTACCTTATGTCTTGAATTCTAGATGTGGAAGCTCAAATATGCAAATTCCCTTCAATTCTTCTAAGTCTCCAAACAAGAATTCTAGATGAACTCAATCTTCTCCCAATTCACTCTCTCTCATGTTTGGTCTTGGAAGATGGACAGAATGATGCATCAAATATGTATGAGGTGTAATAAGAGTTGGCCAAAAAGTCAAGCCACTTAATGGCAAAAAGGTAATTACCAAGGTTCAATTAATCTAGCATTATTTAATCTAATTAAATCATTCCAAATCAAATTTTAATTAAACCTACCATAAAATCACAAAAATTCTAATTAGCATATAACACTAATCAATTTCTGATTTAGTCGCCGATAAGACCTTCAATTCGCAGTTCAAAATTAAAAACATGAACAGATTGTCTAATGACAAACAGATAAAAATGCAACTATGCAACACACTCATACAAACAGATCAGGATTTCATTCTTATCAGTTACTTATCATACTTAATCACAGATTAGCACTAATCAGAGGTGAGGGTTGTCACACACATCCTATTTTGATGTACTTTCAGGTTTGTAAATGTGTCAAGATATTCGAGGGACAGTGTTTGTGGATTGTGACATGGAGAAGAACAATTAAAGTAACATGATTTGGGGTGTGTGGTTGTGGTTTCATGTCAGCATATGAAGAGGTCACGTTCATATTCATAGTAGTTTTGGTTGACAAGCTTTACGTAGCACATTTTATTTTATTTTTGGGTTCAGATTATTGCATTAATAATCATGTCTGACATTATTTATGGTTACGTCGAGTACTTCACAGTCACATTTGAAACCATGGTCGTGAATGTGGGTGCGTAATTTTATCTAAATTTCTGAATTGTGTGACAGTAAATTTTGTTATAATGTCTATTGGAATTCGCAGGGCGAATATTACATATTTGAACTGTGAATGTGCAATTGAATATTTAGGACACAATAGGACATGCACAAAGTGTCACATCACGTTTGTGTTCGTAGTAGTTTCGGCTGACAAGCTTCACGTAGCACATTTTCGTTTGTTTTTGGGTTTAGATTATTGCATTAAATGGCATGTCTAACATTATTCATGGTTACATCGAGTACTTCACAGTCACATTTGAAACCGTGGCAGTGAATGTGGATGCGTAATTACTTCTAAATTTTTGACAGACCGAGCAATCAATGATGGCCACCATATCAGTAAACAGTAGTGGTTCCAAACATGGGAACCGACAGAGATCTCTGTAACAGTAGTAGTAACAGTTCAGTAACAGTGAATTGCTATGGATGCCACGAATACAGTTCACAAATAGGACAAACATTCATTCAGTAAACAGTGTCATTTCATAAAGCAGTTCAGTCATTTGTTCAGAAAATAATCTCAATTGAACATATCTTTACAACATTGTTACTCACAGAGCACTGGGCTATAAGCAGCTAGAGCGTCTTCGGATGCCAACCCTACAGTTACAGAATGAACACACACTAAGCTACACAGCTGGGAAATAATAACTTAATCCCTAATTTGCCTCAGTGTGGTTCTACATCAATATCTTCACTAAGATGCTTTAAACTAGGCCTAAGAATGCCTAGGATGGAATGAGGATGCAAAGATGTACTTTAAAACACTTTTCAAAATTTTCAGAAAACAGGGGTCTCGCTCGAGCATGGCTTTCTACGCTCGAGTAGACATGCAGACAAAGGAGCTCCGCTCGAGCGTGACTTCCGTCGCTCGAGCGGACTGCAAGCTACAGTAAAAATACTGGATGCACAAAAATCACGCTTGATGGACGCTCGATCCACGCTCGAGCGTGAGACACAAGTCCTCGCTCGAGCGTGAACTCTCTCGCTCGAGCGAACTGTAAACACATGCAAAGTGCTGGATACACACATTCCACGCTCGAGCGCCACTTTCTTCGCTCGAGCGGACTGCATGAACACAAGGCATACGCTCGAGCGTGAGTCCAAAACCTGGAATTTCCAGATTTGAACCTCAATCTCAAAACTCAACTTTAATGCATCAAATTCGATCCTTTTGGGGCAATTTTCTAGAAAACACTTGTAAATTCATAGTATAACATGATTCAAAGCTCAATTTGTAAAATCAAGGCCCAAAGGTGAGTCAATTAAACCCATTTTCAAACAAAACTTCAAGAACATGAAGTGTAAGCAACATGTAAGAATTTAAACAACTTTAAAGCTTCAAATACTTGTTCAAAAGAGTCAATTTCCTCAAGACAAGATGATTTCATGATCTAAAATCAAGATATGGACATGCATGTAACAAATTCCATGAAAACAACTTCAAAACCTCAATATAAGAGCATGCATGCATGATCTAGCTCTCAATTCAACATTGTAAACCAATTCTAGACATAGATGACTAAACTTCCATGAATCATGCAAGATATAACTTTAATTCACAAATGAGAGGATGAAATTTCTACCTTATGTCTTGAATTCAAGGTATACAAGCTCAATTATACAATACTCTTCCAAATTCTTCAAGTCTCCAAGCTAAATTTGTTGAAATCAAGTTTTTCCCCTCTCTCTCTCTCTCTCTAGTCGGTTATGGTTCAAGGAATGGGCTGATGGAATGATATAATGCTAGCATATAGAAATCAAATAAAAGCTCATGAAAGTCCACTAAGTGGCATTCTTGTAAATAAGTCCAACTTTGATAATTTAGCTTATTTGATCCAATTTAATCATACCAAATCACATTTCAATTAAATATGCTATAAAATCACATAAATTCTAATTGGCACAAAACACTAATCAATTTCAGATTCGGCCACCGATAAGGCCTGCAATTTGCAGTTTAAAACATAAAACACGAACAGATAATTTAACAGTCAAATAGATAGACATGCATTTAAACTAACACACTCAATTAATTAACTCAGAATTTCAATCAATTCAATTACTTATCATGATTAGTCTCAGTTTAGTAGTAATCAGTGGTGTTATCAGTAAACAATAGTAAGGGTTGTCACAATAAGTGTGAATGTGGTTGTGTGAATGTGAATGTAAATGGTAATGTGACTCAAAATATGATGTGAATGTCAATGTCAATGTTAGAAATGATGTTGCTTGTTCATTTCTAATACCCAGATTGTGTTTGTGAATGTATGACAGTGTTTGGTACTTGTATTAGGGAGTGGGAAAATGCAAATGTGAATGTGATTGTGTAAATATAAAGGTGTATGTTACTGTGATGGTGAATGCGAATGTGAATGACAGAACATTTATGGTTATCTACCTGTAATACCCAGATTGTGTTTGTAAATGTATGCCAGTGTTTTGTACTTGTCTTAGGGAGTGAGCAAATTCAAATGTGAATGTGGTTGTGTAAATGTGAAGGTGTTTGTTACTGTGATGGTGAATGTGAAAGTGAATGTGATTGTGAATGTCGTAACAGGTTTGGTGGTCTACCTATAATACCCAGATTGTGTTTGCGAATGTATGACAGTGTTTGGTACTTGTCTTAGGGAGGGGGCAAATGCGAATGTGAATATGGTTGTGTAAATGTTAATGCCAAATTAAATGTGATTGTGAATGTGTAGGTGTATGTGAATGTGGATGTATGGGTGACTGTGAATAAGAAGGTCAGAAGGGATCTTGGTTGTCCATCTGTAATTCTCATATTGTGATGGTCAATATATGATAGTGTTTGGTACTTGTCATAGGGATATTGAAAATGCAACTAAAAAGATAGAAGATTGATAACATGGCATTTGTTGTCTACATTACTGAAATTGTTGCTTTGGACATTCACATTACATGTCGATGGTGGATTGTTGTTACAAAATTTGACTTCCCATGTATACTTTAAATATAATGAAGGCAAATGTGTTAGAGTGTTTACTACTTGTGATAGGATGTTAAGGGTGGTGGGTTTTGTTACATAGATGTGGTTCAGTTGTCTGTAGATGCCTCACATTTTGAAATTGTCATTCAGAAAGTATATATGCTGGCACATTAATGTTTGAGTGTGCTTTGTCAATTTAAACAGTCAAGAATATACTGTAACTTAAGATTGATTAACTAGTTTCACGATAACCTGTGTCATACTGAGACAATAACACCAACATGACCTAGCTTACAAAACTATGTCTTCTCACATACAAGGCCAGTGTGCAACGCATCACCCAAACATATTTTGTTGGTTTCAAACATACGGTTCCATGACTAAATAAATAAACATGTAAACCTAACATATGAATGAAAAAAACAGCTAAATGATCAATTATAAATAATGTGTTCACTTATTAAAATTTGTCATCAATTTGTTTCGATACATTCTACTACAAGAATATGATGTTGCTATTGAAAACTGATTATAAAAGTTCAGCACTAAATGTCTATTACTAAATTGGTTGTTTACATGTCTTTCAGTTGTGGCTACCCGTGTGGCCACATCGACCGCACCTGATTTAACTTAGTTTCTCTTCCCGAAATGGTATTCGATTCTTCTTGGGTCGCCTTTGAGGACGTTTAACTGTCGGTGGATATATGATGAAGCTATCTTCCGAGAAGGAGGATTTGTCAACTGTTGGTATTGGCTGAATGTAACCAGAATAAGCTGTTTTGTACTGATCGATGGTGAAAAATTGTTCAACACATGTACTAAAATCCCTTCCATTATTCTGTATGGCAACCACCGCATGTGCACATGGGAATTCGTTCAATTGCCACTGGAAACATGAACATGAACGCTTGCCAACATCTATCAACACCGTTGGAAATGAATATACCTCGTATATGTCTTCATTTGTCTGGCTAACAATCCATGTGCAACCATTGGAGTACACCTCCCTAACACGACTTTCTATTTTCGGACAAAGTAACCCATTCCAATTAGTAGCCTATACTTTACGCTCAGCCCTCATAGTCATTATCTGATTTCTAATTGTATCAACCAACCTTGTGATTGGGTAATTACGGGCATCAAGTATCCATTTATTAAACGATTCTGCAGCATTCGAGGTCATCTCCCCATACCGTTTGCCCTTGTTGACATTATGAAAACATAATGAAAATGTTATCACACATTGGGTAGTTTCAATGTTAGCACGCGTAAGTATCGTACAAACCTGAAATACACGTTGGCCCAATGCTTCGGTGGCATATCTTCCAAGAAATTATTTATTCCAGATCATCCTGATCCTTTTAGCTTGGTCAAATGGTGCTGAAACGAAGCCTCGGTTGGAGCATATGCACATTCACGCAACTTGGCCATTAAACCAAAGCAGACCCGGTTGTCAACCCATCGTAATTTGTCCCTTAAATTTGCTTGGAGATGTTGTAAGCAATATGCATGGTGTGCAGATGGGAATACAGTAGGAAAAGATTCAAGCAACCCAGCATTACGATCAAATACAAAAGTTAATGTGCGAGCACTACTGACAACCTTTGTCAGATGCTGTAAAAACCAAGTCCAATTTGCAATCGTTTCGAAGTCAACAATAGCAAAAGCTAATGGGAATAAACCTGAAAGATTTGACAAGTTTTATGTTAGATGTGTAATATTTTTAACAAAGGTTACGTCCACATTAACAATTGTTCATAATTCAAATCGCACCATACACAATGTTATGAAAATAACATTAAATTGTAAACAATCTTGCCATTGGGGATCACCCACTGCTATAGTAGACTATTAAAAAATGTTTAGTCACAATATGATGCGTTACTATATGGAATTTTGAAGTAATCATCGTAAGACACGTACCTTTGTTGCCATCCTTCCCCCTCGCTGCAAGCAAATTGCCTTTAAATCTCTCTTTTAAAAAAGTTCCATCAAGAAACAATAATGTGCGGATATGGTTGAATCCGTCAATGCAAGATTTGAATGATATGAAGAACCCCTTAAATCGACCGGTTGACTGCTCGAAATCCAAGTTGACATAATTTCTAGGGTTGTACTGCATAATCGCATCCGCGTACCACCTAAGTTGATCGAATGAAACATGATAGTCACCATATACTTCGCCTCTTGCCTTCTCCACACCTAACCATGCTATGTGGTAACTAACATTCAAGCCATACTCCTTTTTTAGGTCAAACACGACATCCGTGGGATGTGTAAGCGGCTTATCACGTAACTAATCGCCAATAACATTGCAAACCAATTTAGAGTTAAGTCTACTATTCTTCCCAGTGCGAACAACAGCACCACAACTATGCAAGTTGTTCAACCTCTTCAAGTAAAAATATCCATTGCATGTTTGAACCCTTCCATGTATCAACCATGTACACCCTTTTTGCTCTCGCAACGTGCACACTGCCGTGACCCGCAGTGAATCATTTTTGACAAAATTGAAGTCAAACCCACACTCAATAGCATATTTGGACAGAACCAAATGGAAAGTAGAAACACCCCCTTCGAAACATTGGCCTACGTGACTAATGTCGTGTGACCAATCAACTGTCATCAAAGTTTTCTCACTGTGACGACAATAATTGGGCAACAAATCTACGCTGGGTTCAGGACTTGGAAATTGTTCACTATTAGGATCCAGTTGATTTGCAGATATAGTCCCACCGAATTGATTATCTCGAATCAAATCATCTACCTTATTTTGCAAGTCAATCGCAACGTTGATAGGGGTAACACCAATGGACCTTGCAATGGAAAACATGTTTTACATGTCCACATCATTACACATCATGAATTGGTTCTCGTGACATGGTAGTTTGTAAGATATGGAAATTGATGATGGTGTCACATCCACCCACCTGTCACATAAATTTTGTACCAATTGTTTTAATGTCAATCCATTAACACCCCTGACAGCAACAGTGGATGAACCAAAGCTGCAAAAAAGCATGATGTCCGTATCCTGCGCAACAAAATAAATGAAACATTAACCGTGTCACGATATTCTACAAAAAACAAAAGAACAATGCATGGAAGAAATGTGATATGTAATCAAATGTGAGTGTAGTAACATCGACATCGTACAACGTGGTTCAACCCATATTCAATCACAATCAATCACAAAGAAATTTTATATCTAAACAATGACAACCCAAATTGAATAATATATAATGACAAGTTAGAGTAATATTTAAATACATTCTAATAATTTTTATCAACCAACAACATTGTCACATTCAATTGAGAAAAATATAAACCAGAGAGTTTGTGAAATGTAACGTGACACATATGTCCACAGTAAATACAACAATGGGACAACACAATACAGAAACCATGCTCATATCCATGTGTATGTGAGTCACATTCACATACATTCCAATAGTTTCCACAAACAAGCAACTGTGACATTGAAATGGAAAAAGAACAAAGCCAATAATTTTGTGATCCGTAATATGACACATGTTTTGAAAAAACACAACAATTGCAAAACACAAACTAAATACAAACGCACGTAACACAGACCAAAAATGACAAACATCGTAGGTGTGGTTTAACATTACAACCTAAACGTAACAGCCTTCGAGCCTAACGGAATTATACCAATGTATGGCTATACCATTTAGCACAATCCAGCAACATTCACACATTCTCACTTTCTAATTTAATAAGCGAACGTAAAATACTTTTACGAAACGTAATGTGACACGTATGTGAACATTACAATACAATAGCATTAGCACGGAAGTTGATGTGAGATTACCATTACAAAGTGTGCAAAGGATGGCTATACCAAATTGCGAAATCCATACGATATATGAGGACATTGAAAACAAAACAATCGGGAAAAACATAGAGCAAAACTCACCAATTGAAGAAGCAAACAACTTTAGGTCCTTCCCTCAAACAATCTGAGTTCAGATCGGCAAGATGAAGTCTCCAAACCATCCAACCCAGTAAAATTTTGAAAACATAACAGCCTCCACGATCATGGCGCATATCACGGCACCAAATAATTTGGAAACAATACAGTTAAAACATGGAAACATATATAAAGGATATAATAGTAAACTAATAGTATTTAAACACAATAGATAGGACTTTATGGAACACTTTCTAATTTAAATAGGATTTCAAACTCTAAAAGAAAGTTCATAGGATTTTACATTACGTAAGTCTCCCTAATAGGACTTATAAATAATTTTCCCTTTTTTTTTTCTTTGCCATAACTATATTTTCTTTTTTTCTTCCCTTGGTTTAGATAGCACCTAATTTATGTTTTACATTAATTTCTTTACCTTATCTTATGGTTTACTAAGATTTGTTTACAACGAAAAGTTATTTAACATTTTTTATCCTTGAGTTAAAATTTAATATCAAAATTGGGGTTTTGACTCTTCTACTGCGAAGGGGCATTTATAAAATAAAAAAATTTAAAAAAATAAAAAGAGTTTAAAATAATTATTTTAGGAAAAAAATTATTTTACTTTTTTGTGGTTTAAGCCAACAACAATCTATTTCTCTATGATTCAAATATTGTCAGAAAGTCCCTATATAATTATGGACCAAAGTGCAACCATTAACTCTGATATCTATAATTGTGAAATGACTATAATACCATCAAAGCCCATCCCCATATATATATATATATATTATTTTCTTTTTCTCTCATTTTGCATACACATAATTTCTAATGTTTAATATTAATTCAATTAAATCATAATTAATCATAAATTCTTAATTCCTTATTATAATTCATCTTTTTAATCTAATTTTTATTTAATTATAAGGGGGTAAAGTGCTCATGCCTCAAATCACAAGGGGTAATATGAATTTTGCAATGTTTAAAATTTGTAATCAATTATTTCTAACTCAGCAAATTAATATGTACAAAAAATTAATATTTAAAACAAACGAGTTTGATATATTTATTTATTTATTTTTAATTTATAGTTAAACTAATATTTAACTCAACTAATATTTTTTTTAACAAATTACTTTTGTTATTTTAAATTAATTTTTTCAATATAGTTGTGACCAATAATTTTTTCTCCTAAATTTTGAATGTTTGAAAGACCTTAGTAGAATTTCTTTTAAAAGAAAATTGAGGGTTAGAATCTTTGACTTTTGTATAATTGTTTGGCTTTTTAACATTTGTAGTGTTTTTTTAATTTTTTGATTATTTATTTTATTGCAAAAATAAATAAAATAAATGATCAATACAAAAATATATCTAATTTCCTCACTCAATTATTTTAAACGACCCCGCTACGTAACTCGAATCCGTGGCTCGAATCTGTGGCTCGACACCAAAACGACGTCGTTTTGGTGTCTTTGTTTTTTGTTTTTTTTTTCTTTTTCCTGGTTTTTGTTGCAGAAGGAAGACGAAGAAGAAGGGTGGAGAAGAAGAGAAGGAGAAGAGAAGGGAGGAGAAAGGAGGAGGACTGGAGGGAGCATATTCACAGGGGGAGGAGGAGGCGGAGGTGGAGGCGACGGCGGTGGTGCTGTGACGACCGGCGGTGGCGAGGCGACGGCGGTGGTGATCTCCTCTCCTCCTCTCTCCTCCTCTTTCTCTTCTCCTCTCTTCTTCCTCTCTTCTCTCCCTCTTCCCTCTTCCTCTTTTCTCCTTTCTCTCTATCTCTGTCTTCGAATTCGAGCCATTTTTCGAGCCACAGATTCGAGCTACCAATCTTTTTCCTATTTTAAATTATGCAATTTTGTAATGGGCATCATTTGCCCGCTTTGCGCGCTACACATCCACTAGTGTCATTAAAACCTATTTCTTGACTCTCTTAAAAGTGAAAACTTTGTGAAAGGGCTAAAAAAGAAAAAAAGAAAAAAATTCAACTGAACTGAATACGGAGGGTTGGTTTGACAAGTTTAAGAAAAGTCAAAAAATTATTAAAAAAGTTAAAAAGTTATTACTATTCACTAAAAAAAATATTAAAAAATTAATTTTACACACAAAATTACAACTCATCAATTTGACCCTGTCAGATATGTGCAACGTTTTTTAAGAAAAATTGCACAGTTGGGGTGCAATTTTAATATACTATTGTTCGGCCCGTGGGGGCCCATCACGGGTCCCGTTTTGATAATTTGAACCGTTAATGTGTAGAATTCGTCCAGTACTATATGTCTATAAAAAATCACATTAATTGGATATCGATAACAATATGATCAAATCAGTTTTGTATAAAAAAATGATAGTGTTATAATTAATGGTTGAAAAAAAAAATCTGATCAGACAGCTATCGATATCCGATCAACGTGATTTTTCACAGGCATATAGTACTTGACGAGTTCTACATATTGAACGTCAGATTATCAAAACGGAACCCGTGATGACCCCCACAAGCAGTGGCAGAGCCAGGATTTTGGCTCAGAAGGGGCACCGTTGAATTAAAATCTTAACAAAACTCATAATTTAACTTAATTTTTATTTGATGGTAGGACTAAAAATTAGTGAGATGAAAAAATTAAATTTAAACAAAAGATCAAGCTAACTAATCATTATCTTTATTGTTATTAATTTATTTTATATATGATGATCATCACGGTTTAAAAAATAATTACATATACCCTCATAAAATATGAGAACAAAATTATATTAAGATGCACACACACACATAAAGAGATATAGTGAAGATAGAGAAAGAAATGAGAAAAAGATGAATAAATAATATACAGAGGCTATTATATATTACTTGTTTTTTTCACCGTTTTGAATAATTGAATTACATAGGAATTTATTATTAGTTGTCATTAAATGTGTAATAATTATGTGTCGTATAAAAGGTGATATAAAACAGTGACAAAATATCAGTGATATATAACATTTCTCTACTATAAAATTTATAAGAATTTTTTTAGCATAATTAAACATTTAAAGTGATAAATTAAATATTTTTTTTAATAAAAAAAAAGTAAAGAAAATATATAAAAATTTTAAGATATTACTTGGATTAAATTGAAATATATATTCTTATTAGAGGCAAAAGAATAATTTCTCAAAAGTTGAGGGGGGGCACGTGACCCCTCTGGGCCTCACGT